AAACAAGACTTCGACAACTTAAGCCCGTTTTCCACTTCACGGTTTCGCTCGCCGCCCCGCGCTCGACTACGTTAAAACAACATTTCCAGTTCACCTTTTATACAATAGTACTCTGATTTTCCATATTTAACATACAAGCCTCTAGTCCTGGGCTAGGGTACATTTTGATTTACGTCGGACAAAGCTCCAGTTCGGTCGGACACCAATTCACTCGGGTCGGACAAACAATAAACCTCAGTTTCACGTTGGTCGGACAGAATGTCCGGTGGTTTCCTCTCTACGTCGGACAATTTCACGAATGGGTCGGACAATGTCCGTGACCGACCGATATTTTAAGGCCTGCAGAACGGGTGAGGCAAAAGCTTGATTTGTATATGATCCCAATGGATTTAGATACTTTACTCGCAATATGAGAAATATGAGACTTCCAACACAAATGCTCATAAAAAATTATACCCAAAAAGGTGGTTTCTTTAACTCTTACTGATTTATGATTGTTTATTTCCACAGATAAATCAAGCATCTGCCTCCTTTGCCGAGGAATAAAGATTATATAATTGGATTTTTTAATATTAATAGTCAATCTATTGGCAAGAAACCATTCAGATAGATTCTTCATTTCGTTATTGATGACATTAACTAAGGCTGGTAATTAATATTTCACTATCAGAATAAAATACATTAGTGTCATCAGCAAACAAAATGAATTCAGAGATTATGGAGGCATTACATATGTCATTCATATAAATCAAGAATAATAGAGGTCCAAGGATTGACCCTTGAGGAACACCGCACTTAATATTTTTACTACATGAATGAATACCATTATATTCAACATATTGTTGTCTATTACAAAAATAATTTTTCACCCATTCAAGGGCCAATCCTCGAATGCCATAATGCTCCAATTTTACAAAGAGTATTTCATGGTCAACAGTATAAAATATTCCAACAGTAAACTTTTTTTTATAAAATGCAGTTGCAATTTTGTCTAATAAATTAGTTAAAGCATGCGAAGTGGAATGATTTTTTCTGAAGCCATTTTGATTATCAAACAAGATATTTTGCTTATTTAAATAATGCAATAAACGATTGTACGCAACCTTTTCAAGAACTTTTGAGAACACAGGTAAGATTGAGATAGACCGATAATTTGAGAAAAAGTTACACTCACCGGATTTAAAAATTGGTAAAACCCTTGCAACTTTCATCTGGTCAGGAACAATACCGGATTGAATAGATAAAATGATAATGTGGGTCAGAGGTTTAGAAATTAAATCAATAAAGTCCTTTAAGGTCCACATAGGGATATTGTCGTAACCTCCCACAGTCTCTGAACGTAAGGAACTATTTCAATTATTTCCTATTCATCGGCGGGTTCGAAAAACAATGAGTTTACAAAATTTCCAGATAAATAGCTGGCTGGTGATTTCTTTGAGCTAGGCATGTTTACAGCTAAATTCGGGCCAATGTTCAGGTAAAATAGTCACAAAATCTATTGGCGATGTCTAAGGGATTGGTGACATTTAGATTTAGGTTGTCATCAGTAAATGTTGATGGCAGCGAGGTTCCACGCTTTTTCTTATTAATGATTTCATTGATAATTTTCCAAGTTACTTTAATGTTGGATTTATTAGATTCCAGCTTCTCCTCATAATAAAGACTTTTGGAGGCACGTAATACACAAGTAAGCCTGTTTTATACTTTTTGTACCTATCCTCATTTAGAGGAGTAGGAAAACGTAGAAATTTCTTATACAACTTTTTTTTTCTTATGGACTTAAAAATACCCCTGGATAGCCAGGGCTTATTTTTAAACTTTGCTGCTTTTAAAATTAATTCTTTTCAGAGGAAAGGCGATATTGTATATATGCATGAAATCAGAATGAAAACTGTCATAAGCATATTTTGGATCATTGTATCCCTCAATATCAGACCATCTGTGATTTCTGAGAAGCTCTTAAAATTTTAATGAGTTAGTCTTACTCCTATCACGGAATGTTACACATGCTGAAGCGTCACCATAATTTTCAACTGATTGTTAACTAAAATAGCTGAAAATTGGTAAATGGTCCGAAATATCAGTGAATAATAGACCATTAAATGAATAAGTGTCTAGATTGTTTGTGAAAATGTTATCAATAAGAGTAGCAGAATTAGATGTAATGCAGTAGGCCGTGTTATTACCGGGAAAAACATATTGGAGTAGCTACATAATATCGAGAAATTCACCAGTGCGTTGGTGGCTATGATAATTTAATAAATTCAAATTAAAGTCACCCATTATGTAGCACATTTTATTTTCTTTAGAAATAATAGAAATTAGTTTGTCTGTATTGTTAATAAACTCATCAACACTTTCATTAGGAGGTCTATATAAAACTCCAACAACAATATTTTTCCCGTTTGGTTTATGAATTTCAACGAACATACTTTCAGCAGTGACATGCTGTATCGTCAAAAGCAAGGTCATGACGTAAATGAAATTGAAACTCATTTGCTAAATAAAGATCAACGCCTCCACAGGTCTATTTTATTGGGCCTATAATTATGTACGAAGTTAAATCCGTCAAGACAAGCATAGTGCTCTTCTTGGCGTAGCCAAGTTTCCGAAACGCCAATAAAAGATAATAATAATTGCAAGACAGTTTAATAAATTGTCAAAATTCCGAGTTAAGCTTCCAATATTTAAAAGGAGAATCGAAAGATGTCCAGTTGTTGTTTGGCATCGCTGCCTTGGTAGACAATAAATCACTTAATTTATGTTCAGTGTAATAATCGCAGCTTCGGGATACATGAGAATAATAATTAGTATCCGCATCTAAGTCACCTCATATGGCAATATTACTGTTGTGATCAAACAGCAACAGATTAAACACCAGTGAGGATAACCTATCCTCATCAAATCGTACTGGGCCGTTTTCAAACTCATAACACCAAATCAAACCAAATCATCAGAAATTAAACAATACTTTTCTGAAAACCAACTGCATCTTAACCGGCTTATTTAAACTAGTGAGATTCTCCGCATTCATAGCATCATGCATGCAAAGCATTCTGGTCGGTTAACAGAAATGCGTTCTGGTCGGTTAACAGCAGTGCATTCTGGTCGGAGAAACGGAAGTAAAATCTTAGTTTCAGAGCCCAGTACGAATTAGAACTTCTGACTTGCTCGCTCGCTTCATAGGCTCGCTCACTACACATGTTGTCTGTCAAGTTCCGAAATTTATGAGCCAAAGTCATTAATGCGCATCGTCTGCGCATGGGCAGTTCTACAATAATCAGAGAAATTTCGCCTTACACCAGTGACCCCCCCCCCCCCAATCCCAGTTCGATGCTTCCTACGCCGCTGTGGGCCACAATTAAAATAGCACATCACTAGATCAGCCGATGCACTATCCAGTTCGCTACTTCTCAAATCAGTGAAACTTACCGTGGTTGATAGTGCTGTTCAGCGTCGAGGTTTACTTCGATATCATAAGCCATTTCGATATAAGGTACCACATCGTCGATCTCATCAAATGACATATCGCCACCACTACGTAACTGATGTAGAATCTGTTGCATCCATGTTGTGCCGCATTTAGGTGAAGTCACGACGAACACATCATCTGGACGAGGTTTAAAACTTAAACCATGCATTCTTCCTTGCTCTGTTCGGAAGTTAGAAAACCTTTGTTTCAGGAGCTGCACACCTCGCATTCCATCTCCAGATTTCTCAAAAGCCATTCTCAGAAAAGCTACCACAAGGCACAAAACTGTGACAAAACTTAACAGAGAAGCAGTGTTTCCACTTCCAAAAAAATTATTTCCTTCTCCATAACCCGAAATTTCCTTTTTTTCCACAAAATTTCCTTTTTTTCCACAAAATTTCCTTCCAAAAATCTCTAAATATCCTTCCATTTTTCCTTCAAAATTTTTATCAAAATTGACTGATTTACCTGGTAATTAACATCTAAACTCTACTATTGAAACACATTACATTAATTTATAGCAGATAACTTTGTATTTTGCCGGTTAAAATCAGCTTGATAAACGCCCCCGCGGGGGACAAAGAGCATAATAATTGCGGCTACTTGCTGTGGGTGCGAAAAGAGATTCCATAACTGTTTATTGCGTCTCTCCCTTCTGCCACGCTAAGCAGACCCCCTCCCCCCCAAGTAGAGTCTGAAAAATAATACCCTGGGTACGAGGTTTGGTTGTTATTTCAATATAGCAATTCTGGGGTTCTGTGGCTAGATCATATAGATATCTCATATGGCTACTACCAACTTTGGAAAAAAAAAACATCTGTGAGATGTCGCTTTGGGGGGCCCACAAGGCGCCACCATGGTTGGCGCCGAGCGGAAAATTTTGAAAATATGGAGTCTCTCAGATCGTTGGAAATGGCATTTTCAGAGTCTTTTTTTGCACAAAATTGTATGAAAATTGCCTTATTCTTAGAAATTATGGGATAAAATAGATTTCCTTCTCATTTCCCTCCTTATAACAATATTTCCTCCCAATTTCCTTCCAAATGCTATTTCCTTCCAAATTTCCTTCCAAAGGTCCAAATTTCCTTCTGGAAGGAAATTTCCTTCCAAATGGAAACGCTGGCAATGACCTGGGTCTCAGTTATGATGTCATAGTATCTATCATGAAATGTAATCAAAACAAACGTATTCGCGGGAAAATGAAAATATTGGATTCTGATTGGATAATTGTCGCTCGCACATGCCTAAATACTAAATTGTTATGTATATAATTGTAGATTATGCAAGTCTGTTTTAACAGATGCAGTATAATATTAATTATATGAGAGATATGAGACGAGATTTAACAATGCATTATCTTTATTATTCACTCCTTTTTAACGTATTTACAGTGAATTTAAAGTATATCAACTATAACCATAACAAAATAACGTTCTCAGTCCATCCTCACATCACCGCTGACCTGCGCCCTCCGTTCGTAACTATACGAGGCGGGAATGCATTGTTAAATCTCGTCTCATATCTCTCATATAATTAATATTATACTGCATCTGTTAAAACAGACTTGCATAATCTACAATTATATTTCGAGATACTCGACTCAATTTAACAATGCATATTCAAAGTTCTAAAATGTAAATATCAAGAATGGCAAGCTGATAATAATAATAATAATAATAATTTAATATTTATATCGCGCAAATTTACATGAGAATATGATCAAATGCGCGTAACAAAGATATAGTAGTAGTAATAATATTTACATATGCTAAAATAAGCGGATAAATTTATGTACAATATGCAATTTGAAAAAGATATGTTTTCAATGAGGACTTAAAGCTATTAAAATTACTATCTCGTCTGATAAAATGCGGCAAGGCATTAAAAACTGTAGGAGCTGCAAAACTAAAAGCTCTATCTCCTAAAGTCTTCTTCGTATTTCTGTTATTAGCTGGCTCTATCAATAGTTCCTTATTTCTGCGCAGCTGATAGCTACTTGGTCTCATAACTGTTACCATTTCACTAATGTATGATGGCGCTAATCCATGTATTACTTTAAAAGTCAATACAGATATCTTAAAGATTATTCTCTCCTTGACAGGCAGCCAATGGAGCTCATATAAAACTGGAGTAATGTGATTGAAACGAAAAGCACCGGAAACCAGCCGGGCTGCCGCATTCTGTACACGTTGTAACTTATTTACAGACTTTGCTGGAAGACCATAGAGAAGGCTGTTACAATAATCCACTCTTCCCATAATAAAGGCATGGACTAAGATTTTAGTTGCGTCAACGGAGAGATATTTTCTAATTCTCCGAATATTATGTAGGTGGAAAAATGCTTGTCTACATGTATTGTTGATATGGGGTACCAAACACAGATTGCTATCAAACACAGTCCCCAAATTCCTAGCAGATGCTACCGGTGTAATGTTGACATCGCCTACAGGAAGCGAGACAATGTTCACTTTTTTTAATTGTTGCCTTGTACCGATAATCAAAAACTCAGTCTTACTATCATTCAGTTTCAATTTGTCCCTAGTCATCCACGTACGTACTGCCTTAATGCATGTCTCCATCGCTGCGATACTCTCTTCCTCACTCGCACCGTTCCCTGGTTTAAACGACAAATAAAGCTGCGTGTCATCAGCATATGCATGCGCAGTTGGTAAATGTTCTTTAATAACATCAAATAGTTTACTTGCATACATGGTAAAAAGCAGCGGTCCCAAACATGAGCCCTGAGGTACGCCACACGTTAATGGAAAAATGTCAGAGATTCCATCTTTAAATGCTATTCGCTGACATCGTCCAGATAGGTAGGATTCAAACCACTTTCGCACAGTTCCTGTAATCCCAAAAGATGTTTCCAATCGGTGAAATAAAATGCTGTGATCGACAGTATCGAACGCTGCACTAAGGTCCAGAAGAACAAGAAGGGTAACCTGCTGACAATCCATATATTCAAAAGTATGTCGTTTTGGACCTTCAGAAGGGCGGTCTCAGTACTATATCCTTGCCTGTATGCGGACTGATACTCCGGGAATAAATCATGCAACATCAAATGGTCATAGATCTGATCATAAACTGCTCGCTCAACTAGTTTAGAGATAAACTGCAAGTTACTGATCGGACGCAGATGGTTGAACAAAGCAACTAGTCCTGGTTTTTTTAGAAGGGGTTTTACTAGAGCCTCTTTCCAATCAGTTGGAAAATATCCATTGATAAGCGAACTATTGACTAGATGAGTACTTATAGGTAGTAACAATTCCAGACAATCAATCACCAATGGCATTGGCATTGGATCCAAGTCACAGTACTTCTTGGGTGAGGCAATAACCAGAGCTCGAACTTCCTCTTCACTGAGCAAACGGAACGACTCCAGGGTAACACTACCATCAGATGGCACGCAACGATCACTGGGTACAGGAGCACATGATTCTTCATCAAGAACAGGCCGATCCACATC